CATCTACATTTTCTCAGTTTTCTTTTTTCTATCTAAACCAAGTTTCCACCTCTCCCCCTAAACTGCTATCTTAGTCCGTACTTCAGATAAGTGCATAAAGGCAGGGAAATTCAATCATGGTGTCCAGTTACCTTATTGGTTTACAGATCTATGCATCCAGAGATGTTCTAGTCTACCCATTTTAGCATCAAACCGTTACTTTGCAATTGCAATAATACATACACTGACAACTGGATAAAACGGAAACTCTTTTTAATTTTTTATATAAAACAAGACCCCAATGCACCATTTTCACTCTTTTAGTACCTTTAATGTGATTTCCATCCTGTACACTTGAATTGAAAAGGAAACAAATATGCTACGGCAAAAAATGAAAAGAGCAGCAATATATAGTGTGATAAGTTTGAAAACCCCTAATATTTTTTGACCAGGAATTCTGTATCAGTTTTTGTAGTAGTTTATTTTCAGCCTTTTATTATCATTCCTTGGTATGGGCACCTCAGCATCAAACATTTTGACTATGTTTTTTCTTCACAGCGCAGAATTTCTCCAAACCTCTCTAATTATGAGATCATTCCTCGCCCACAGCCTTGTAAAACATTACTTTTCTTCCAGCGAAACAGATATGTTAATTATTTTCCTCTTCGTCCTTAGTTTTCTAACTGAGAACAGAAGAATGTAAGAAAAAAAGGCCCCATAATTTCATTAACCTACTTAAAAATTTATTTTCCATCCAAGAAAAGAAAACCCAGATCCTGATACTTACACCACCGTGTTTGTGTGTAGTTTCTTAGACAAAAATAACCCTCAGCAGTGTGGCCTAAACCGACAATCTGATTCCTTCTAAGATTAAAGGAATATACAAAGAAAATGGAAACTTTTACCAATGATTTTATTTATGGGGAAAAAGGGGTTCTGCCTTACTACCCTATCCCTTAGTCTATGGGGAGTACAGTTGATCACTTCAATGTTATTCTTGGCCTTTTTCAAACTTAACAAGACGGTGCCTTTATATATTGATGCGATAATTTCTAACCTCTCTCCAATTTAAGGATTAATATGAGGGATGTAAATGAGAACATGTCTTTTAAAAAAAAGCCAAAATTGGGCAGCTGTGAGCTCAATAAAGGAAGCTGAGTGAAAAAGTCGACAAAGTTTTAGTTCTCACACTTATGAAAACTGATTATTGCTGCTCCTTTTCTTCTTATGTTGCTTTTTAATTAACACTGGAGAATATTTTACATCAAATATAACAACAAGGTTTAAAATTATATTTTAAATGTCAAAACCTTTCAGAGCCACTGTATAATGTCACTGTTTATAGAGGACTACCATACTAACATTTCTATCTGAAACATCCATTTAAGCATTATTTTCTACAATGAATCAGCACTTATTTTAAAGCACAATCTGTAGAACATAAATCATTTGAAATTTCTTCTGTAGGAGTGTTACTATCAGGCTAGCCAGTTTTTTTTGTTTTTTGTTTGTTTGATTTCATTCCAATGTAAAACAGAGTTAGCTCTGTGCATAAATCATAGAAAGACAATGGAAAGTAGCTTTTCTGTTTGTAAAGCTCTGGTAGCAGAAACAAAGGAGATGTACAGGTATAACTGTAGTGGTTGTATTAGTGTTCGTATTAAAGGTTTCTGTCGTCCTTGTTAATGCTGATATTCCATACTTTTGTGACACTCGGAGACCAAATTGAATGTTTAATAAAGTTCATAGTTTCAGCTCTGACAAACCTCAAAGAAAACCTTCCTGGGTGCTGGAAGCTTTAAAAGCCCTTCCAGCTTTAAAAGCTTTTACTAAATCTGGTCTATTATCATCTCATCTATCCTTTTTTGTCGGGATATTAATTTGAATATCTTATTTCAAAGATGAATAAAATTAACAAAGGCACTTTATGTAATTATTTAGACTTAACTTTCAATAAATAAACTCATCCAAAGTTATGAGTAAACCAATAAATAGCACAAAGGTCAAAGAAATAAATATGGACACCTCCATTGACTGACCTCAAATAAGAATTAATCCTTTCTGCAAGCCCATTTCTCTATATGTATAAGACAATTTATATACATATATATATGTTGTAATCACATTTGCCAGGTAAAATGTTATGAAAAATAGAAAATTTGTATTTTTAATCTTCAATATGAGAGTAATTATCTGTTGTATCTCAGTAACTATAGCAGGTACCTGTCAAAATAAAAGTATTTTCTTCAAAGTTTGAAATGTTTTTTTGATTTATTGCAAAACAATAAACAGTTTCTCCCGTAAATGTTTATAATACTGGCATCACTGCTATATAAATGGAGCTCCCAGATATATTAGTATCAGTTAACAAAAGGCTTATATTTCAAACAGAGCAAGCAGCCCCCAACAAGAGGCAGCTTTGATCCAAATGAGGATATGACAGGGGCTATTTTCTCAAAATGCAGTCCAGCATTATCTCCTGAGCCATCAAGTGGTTGGGTAGGGATCTTGATAAAAAGCCCATCCTTTTTTGTTTGTCTTGTCTTGTTTGTTGGCTGTCTGACAATGACGCCATCGCAGGCCTGGGCTGTCTGGGGAGTTCATATCTGTCTGAGGAGGAAATGAAAGCCCCTGAAGGGTACCAATGGAAGCAGCATCAGGACCGCTAGACACTATATTGATGATGAAAGATTGGAAGAGCAAAAACAAACAAAAACACCACACCAATATTACTTGACTGGTGGTTTTTATAGCTGTTACTCTTGTAAAGTATAGTTTCTTTTATACTTATTTGTAAGACACATTTACACTGTATGGTTTTTAAGCTATTTGTAGTATTATTATAGTGTAACTAGTAACAGAAATATACATAATCATTACAAAAGAAAGCAAAACAAAGTTATAAAGGTGTGCATTAATCAGTTTGGAATATGAAAAAAACTATAGGTGTCATCTGTACAAGACACCTATATTTAGTTCACATTAGTTCCATATAATGTTGTGAAAATGATCCAAAAATGATAAAGGGAACACTTGAAAAAAAAAAAAAAAAAAAAAACTCTTTTACAATTTTAGTTTTTTGATGAAGTGGATGCCACATGGAAATTGTCTTTATTAGTTTCAGGCAAAAAATAAATAAATAAAAAAGTATAGGTCATATACATGACTTGTAGTTAATGAACTTAACCAGCAGATGTAGATAGAGTCACATTAACCAGAGTTGGTTTCTTAGCACTGCATTTTTGCTTATTGTTTTACATGTACAACACAGGATAAATTTCACACTTAATTTTTTTTTTCTCCTTAACTTATTTCTGCATACCAATGGCAGATCACATTTTCAATTTAAGACTTTCCCATTAAAATGACACATCAATTGTGGGCATCAGGGGATTTTAGAACCACAAGCAGTTGACTGATGGTGCTTTATTGCAAATGATGCAGTGCAATTCAATATATTGTGCAGGTGTTAAGACCTAGCAATAATTGTGTTTAACTGATGGACTAAGGCAATCAATCAGAGAACCAACAGTGAACCCCATGGCAGAGGTGGGTAGTAACTATAGTTACATTTACTTAAGTAACTTTTAAATAATGTACTTTTAGTAGCTTTACAGCATTGTACTTGTTACTTTTGAGTAAAAAACATGTTAAATTATCCCTACTTGACAAGCCTTTTCACCTAGTGGTTTTTCACTTGTACTGGAGTTATTTCTTAACAGATTTTACTTTTACTTGAATAAAAGTATGATGAAGTAGTGCTACTCTTACTTAGGTACCATTTCTGAGTATTCTACTCACCTGTGTCCATGGCTGACAGCTCAGGCAGGAGAATGTGTCAGCAAAGACACAAGAATTTGAATGACTTAAGACAGACATTGATTTGTTTGCAAGACAACTAGCCTAACAAATATTTAGAGCCACCATAGAATCATCTGGATCATCATGTTGATGTTTTAAAAGGTCCCAGTTAAAACTTTGCTTTGGATTCACAATCAGAACAGACAGACAGAAGATGCCTTTCCTCCAATCTGACTGAGCCTTGGATACTTAAGATTATTAACAATTTGAATTTGATTTAAAAGGAAAATTTAGCAAACGTGTTTGTAGATTTGAAAAAAAAAAACCCAGCTAACTACATGCAAATGAGGTGCTGAAAATATAAAATCTAAACAAAATCACATTAGACTTTTCATATTCTTTTTTGTTAAAACCTTTCAGAACCATGATTTTCTTTTCTTCCCTCTTTATATCAGTGGTTGTTAGTCTAATATGTATGATTTTAAATGCAGAAATTTCCCCTTAAGCAACACGCACTCCCTGACACTGCCTATGAATCACCTTTAGGGGGCACTGCGTCACCATTGCTTACAGCATAACGTGCATTCAGAGAGAGAAGAAAGTAGTGCATGTTTTTAAGGGGGGTAGGGATGATATATTCCATTTCTATTCTACCTTTAATCCAACTGTGAAATTCAAAACTAAAAGGCTGCTGTTTTTTTGTGTGTTTTTTCTACCAAGGTAGTTTTCTGTAAAGCTGTGTACTGCATCAGCAACCCAGAGTTTCATCATAACATATTCAGCACTAAAAACATGGCCAACTTGTAGAATATATATGATGTGTTTGACTATATTGATTTAAAGAAAAATAAATCAATCCTGGATTTACAAGACATTAAACAAAGTGAATAAGGTAAAGCTTAAAAACGGCAGATAATGAGCAACATGACAACAGCTACATTTACTTTTTCAGCATCAAAGATAATCCTCTTAATTAACCTCGGCTACACGAATAGAGCGCAGGGTGGATGGTGGTGGTGGGGGTGTTTTCAGCAAAATTATGTTTNCAGCAGTTTGCCATAAGAACAAATGAATCTTCAAAGATATAATAATGAGGAATATTGAAAATAAGACATGAACATTCACTTTCCCACTTTAAACATTTTATTACAGACAAAAGAAAACAAAAAAAGAAGTATTTGTGACACAAAAATGAAGCTAATGTTGGTACATGTATGTGGAAAGATGCACCAACAACAAATTCTGAAAATATTTATTATTCTAAAAATAAAGGTGTTGGTTCAATAATAATAATAATAATAATAGTAATAATAATAATGCAACCTGATGCAAACAAGCCAAATTTTTACTTCATTTCATCCTTAAATAGATGTAAAACCTGCAAATAATTAAATAAAATGACCAAATTGTAAAACATGATATCTGACAAAACAAACAAGGGTTTTTTCAGCAACGATTCTGCAAATTAAAGAGGCAGGCTTGTACACCGGATTGAAATCTACGACCCTCGGTAAACCCTGCAACAATGGACATAAAAATGAGATATCTTGAAAATGTTTTGCACGCAAAAAAAAAAAAAAGATAAAGATGGAAAAGTTTAACACAATTCTAAAACACCTAAGAAACTAGTCAAAAACTTGAAAACCCACTGTTATGTTTTTTTTTTTTCTTTAGTAACATTTCACATTTAGCAACATATTTTTTTATTCACCTGTACAAGTGATGAGACTAAAAGGATGGAAGGCGGAGCTATAGGCAAAAGGGGGCGTCCGTATTGACATGAGTAGGAGGAGCTAAAAGGTTCAATCAGTGACCCCTGCATAATGTCCCGAGGATAAACAAGAGGAGCGATGTCCGTGTAGGAGCTCTGCCCGGCTGAGGAGGACCCTGAACAGTTTGCAGCCTTTAAATTTCCTGCGTCCTTTTTTTTTTTTTGGAGAGACATGAACACAGCGTTAAACTTCAGCTTTAATGTGTGTGGCCCTTCACTGAACCCGTCTGCACGGCAAAAAGAAAATCACTTAACCAAACAAAAGAGAGTTAAAAAAAAAAAAAAGCAGAGGGACTCCAGCTCAATACACAGAGAAGAGGGATCCATTTTGGTGATATTTACAATCACTCCGTGATAAAGGAAAATATGAAGTTCTTCAGTAAGAGGAATGATGCTTTACAAAGAGTTTATGTATTCTCGGAAACACCTTCATTGCTTTGCCTTCAGATGGAGTTGTTTCATAATGTCCTGAAGTAAACCCCCCCTCCCCGATGAGCGTCAATAATCTAGTTTCCCGCATTAGATTTTCTACCTTTGAGAATGCTTTAAGCATTTCACATCTTCCTAATAAGGATAGTTTGTGGCAAACACAGAGCAATTGAGTGAGAAGAAAAGAGATCTCTCAACAAAAAGAAAAAAAAAAAATCAAAGCAATATGAGAGGACATTTTAGGCCCTCATTTCCAGTATGCCAATGTGAGCTTAAAGCTCGCCATCACCTCAAAAACATTGTTCACAGACCAGGAGAAAGAAAAAAAAGAGGAAAAGAGAAAGCAAAGGCAGTGCCTCAGGCTTGTGGCTGATTTAAGTGCTTGGCAAAAAGGTGGTGCTGTAGCAGTCTTTGGGATTTTCAAAATCCATCAGAAGAATAAAATAACACCCCCCCACCCCACCCCCCCGCAAAAAAAACAAAAAATGAAAAATGGTGAAAAAACAGATACATCAATGATGTTGTTGTTATGTTAGAAAGCTCTCTGGAGTCTGACATGAGGAGGTCATATAACTTCAAGTGAGGTAGAGAGGCTTGTCCCGGGCTCCCATGCCGCTGCTGATAAAGAAAACAAGAGCAGTATAAATGTGTGACAAAAGATTTGTGAATAGAGACGGCTGTTAGCACAATATAACTGTTTATTCTACATAACATTTCACCAGGGAAATATGCTTTTTTTTTTTTCCAATGAAGGTCTGGTTTGGGGAACAGCTCCAACACAAACATGAAAGCTGACAACAGACATAAAAGGGAATGAATTTCAAATTTGCAGATCAGATGGTATTTGAAACGTCAGATTTGAAGTCTATTCTGCAGGTATCTTTACCGGGAAACTGCAAGTAATTTAGAGCCTTCCGAAAGTCCCAAACTTCAGAGATCTGACACAAGGTGAGGAGGTTTAAAGAAAACTCTGTACTCTTCAAAAGAGCCTAAAACAGGAGTTTAACCAGATATGATCCTGGTTTGGTTCTAAGTGACACATGCAGGTTTGGAGAAATTTGATGGCATCCTTCATAAAGATGAATGAAAATCCAAACATCCATCTACTCCCCTTTATTCCATCAGGGTTACGATGGGGCCGGTGTCTATCTATGGCAGTCTATGGGCGAGAGGCGGGGTCCACCTTGGAGAGGTCGCCAGTCTGTCGCAGGGCATCACAGAGACACACAAAGACATACAGCCATGCACACACTCACACCTTAGGACAATTTAGAGAAGCTAAAAGTCCTGTTTTTGGACAGTGGGCGGAAAATGGAGAAATAATTGCTACTTAACTAAGTCAAAGTAGTTGATGGTAGTTATTTGAAAAATGCAGGATAAAAATATAATAAATGAAACAGTAACTAAAGAGCTTTTTATTGTTAAATTAGTTGTATTCATAAATAACTCTAGAAATGTTAAACTCATAATTCATAAAAATCCAAAATAGCAATTCCATTATTTTTTAGCCACTGGTCATTATTCTGGATGAAAAGTCCTATTTATTTGATCACGGCAGACTAAACAGGAGTTAATAAAACTACAAATATTGACATTTTGTAGCCCTCAAGTCTCCATTGTAACAATTAGTCTCCATCTAAAAACCAAGTGGCTGCAAAGGAGAAAAGTAAAATTTTTTCAACCAAGTGAATGTGTTGGAAAGCAACATATTCTCTTTTTCAGCTGCCCTGGAGATCTTATTAGATTGCCATGTTTCATACATTTTTTAATATACCATGAGTTTAAAAAAAAAAGTTAGAGCAGAGCCCAACCATAACAAAGATGCCAGACTGCAAAAGTTCTTTCACAGTTAGTTTGGAGGTTATTTATTTTTGTTTTGTTAATTTGTCTTTTTTGTTTGCGTCTCTTTCTACACCGCTACACCGTGAGTCCTTGTCCAACCTTTTATAATGCAATTTACAATTTACTGGAAAATCTGATAAACGTTTAAAGGTAAAATAATAAAATATTTTAGACAGTTTTCATAGATTTTTTTAACCCTACCAAATAGATTCAGCCATTGTAAAGTTTGGATATGGTTGTGCAGTAAAATACAAATCTTTACAAAACAGGAAAACAAACTTGTCTGAGTTTTCACCTTATTCTCAAAGTAGCAACACTGGAATTTAAATGTGATACAAAATTTTCACTTAGCGTCTGTCTGAAAGGTATTCATATTATTCAATAAAGCAATGTATGTGAAGCGACACTTAATTGAATGTCGGCACTTTTTCCAAGCTCAGTAATAGCATTGTTCTTGTGCTACATTACTCATTTCAATTTCAGGAAGATGCTGTACTTTAGCAGGTAAATTGCTTTTTATGATTAACACTGTCTGAGCGTCAGAGTGTGAAGTGAAATGGTTTAATGTAGATCACTTGGAAAGTGAGGAGCTCTCACAAAGCTACTTAGTATTCTCAACAACCAAAAGACATGAAGTGCAGCACAGTCAGAGTGTTTTCTTCTTAACAAAAAACATTTTACCCGGTGTGATGAGCTTACCCGCAGTGGTTGGGTCCACAGTCTCTGTTGCAGTACTCGCCTTCCCAGTCGGGGTTTTGGCCGTGCACTGGATTGGGCGCTCCTGGAGACTGAGAGCCGCCAACGCTGTTCTGGTAATCAGCCTGAAGATGGGAGAATCCCTGCAGGAGAAAAAGGGGAGGTTATATCAGCCAAGCGTTGGCGATGGCCAGTTGTCAGGGTGTGCTGAGCCATGATCTGTAATGAGGCCAACCCATGTCAGTAGCCTATATCAATTTTTGCTGAGAGGAACATACCCATTGTCCACCCTCCATTACCTCATAATGCTTTGCTAAAATAGCTCTCACAATCTTGGACTGGAGATTTTATTGACAGAGGCAAAAAAATAATTTGTTTGTTTTGATCTAAACTAATGAGAAAATCAAAATGAAAGCCCATTCCCATTCCTCCTGCAATAATAAACATGTTTTTTTAACGTTAATTAGAAAAGCAATCAGAAAGTATTGTATTACATGTGTTCAATAAATATGACAAATTTCATTGATATCTGCACCAACCTGTTGGTTGAGCGGAGGGGAATGCAGAGATGCCTGGAGCCCCATTTGGTGAGAGATGATTTGCTGTGACTGCTGCATGCGGATTGGCTGATTCAGATGCAAAGAGAGCTGAGCGTGCGGGTGCAGAGGCGGGCTGATCTGGAAGGGGGCTGGGGGAGAGGCACTCATGCTGGGTGGGAGCATCTGGGACTGACTGAGGGCCTGGCCCAGGGTGTGGCGCGGCGGCCCTCCATAACTCTGGAGTTCAGAGAGTGGGAAGGAGCCTGGAGGGCCCAGGTAGGGGGAGGAGGACTGAGGGGGCACGCTGTACAGGGGCTGTTTGGGGGGCAGCAGGTGAGAGGGTTGGCTGGTCTGTTGGGCACTTTTTGGTTCTGGATCATTGTATGTCTATGGAGAAAAAAAATGCAAACTTTGGTTTAGGTGCTGAAAAAGAAAGGAATGACAGAGACAAAAATGAAATAACAATTGTCAGATTTAAAATACAGCTTTAAACAAAAATAAATAATGTACATAAATTAGCTGGTGACTGGAATATAAAGCTCTACTAGCTCCGACTTGTGATTGACTATCCAGAAACTCAAAAATCCAATCTTCTCCATATTGAGTGATAGCCTAAAAACTAAGCACAAACAACACTCTTCTTTGAAGGTTACAAATGCAGAAGGGCGACTTACAGTTAATTAATTTAAGTACATGACCGATGGTTAGGAACAAATGAATGAATGAATGAATGAATGAATCCTTCCCAGTATAGAGATTATTTTGATCCTCTTACAAAAGTCTTTGGATATTTAGAACTTTAAACACCTAAAATATCAGTTTTTAACAAAATAAAGTATGTATGAATAAAACAATCACAAGAAGTTTTTTCTCCCCACACACCAGTTTAAGTAGAAGTATAGTTCTAAAGCCTCTTTTCTAAAAGCAATTGTAAAACAGCAGCAAAGATAAATTTTTTTGCTGCAAGCTTTATTCAATATAAAAATGTTAAAAGTTTAGATTCCTGAGAACTAGTCTGACTTTTTTTTTTTTTTTTTTAAATCAATTAATTACATTTTGACACCTCGCGACCCCCACTCGGGATAAAGCGTGTCAGATAATGGATGGATGGATAATTACACTTTAACATTTGCAATTATTTCTTGTCTTAAACCAGAAAAAACAACAACAAAAAAACCCAACTTTTATGTCTATCAGCCCTGAGCATGTTTGCAAAGATAGCCTGCTTGGAGTGGTTTGTATAGGAAATGTGAGAAGTCACCTTCTAAACGAAAGAGGATATTTTAAATCTAATACATCGTATTTCTGCACAAAATGGACTTGCACTTTTCATGGGGGCTGGTCGATGATATATAAAAAGGCTGGATATGGCCCATAGAGAAACTAAATTCAGTTGTATTAACTACTATTTTAAAGACTAACTTTGCCTTTAAAGAAAAGAAATAATGAACACTCATAGCAGGAAGGCAGGGAAAAAAGATTCAGTTATTCAAAGAGAAATGTAAATGGACTTAAATCAGTACTAGCAGGCTAAAGCTTCACAATTACCAGAGACTGGATAATGGCCATAAAATCACCGACTGGGGCATCGTCTCTTATGTGTTATGATGCGTCTTTGATGTTTGTGATATTAATGTTTTAAGCTCTTTCAGTGCTTCACGTGCTAATGGATGTAATGCAAGTTAGAGATTTAAGAGGGCTGCATTGCTTTATAAAAAAACACTGACCTACACCAAATTCCTCCAAACCTGACCTTTTGCTTTCAGGACAGCGAGCAGGTGCAACACCCCCACCCCCACCTCTACTCTCTCTGCAGGCCCCAGTGATGAGCTGTCAGATTGCTCATCTCCAGCCATCAGTGTTGATTAGAAGGTAATGGAGCCCATTTGTATGAATAGAGCTAGGGCCGAGGTAATGATCAATAGACTCCTTGACAGATAGATGGGAAAAGAAGAGGAGCACACACACACACCCACACACACCTACATATGTACACACATACATATATGCAGGACCCTGGGCAGAGAAATGAGGCTGTTTGCCTGCAGAACAAATGGAATGACAAAAGAAATCTTCCCCTCAGTATATTGTGTGTGCTGTTAATACAAGGAGGCACTAAACAATGCAATCCTGCTTGCCTCCTTTTTATCCCGCTGCTTCTTTGCTGGTGTATACAACACAGCATCATTCACCAGGCAAACAGTGTGTCATGGATCTGAATTAGCAGGACAGTGTCAGAGAAGGAAGCGGTGCAAAGCCAATCATTGCCTGAGTTGTTTTGTGATGTACTTCCTGTTGTAGATGATGAGAGGAGGAAATCAATGATCTATTGCATGACTTGTCTGTTGGTGTGAGATAAGATTAGGATTTCTATTTTCTGAGGATACACACTTTATATAACAGATTAATCTGATAGTGTGTAGCACATGAAAGAGCAATTACTTTCTATCCTGCGGCCCTGAACAATGACACAGCCATATGCTTGAGTGCTATCTCCTGGTGACCCCCATTCTCCTCATCCCATAATAATACTTCATACTTAATGCATATTATAAATCCCTGTGGATCCTATGGAAATCAGATATTGTTCCAAATATAACCCGCTCTTTTTACATAAAATCTCCCAACTTCTTCAACATCACAGTCTTAAACCATAGAGCCCCTACACCCCCACTCCAATACATTATCAAGGATTTTCCAGCCAATCCATCATCAGTTTTAGCCAGGGCTTGTGTGCCATAAGCGTTACCTTGGAAACCAGACTGGCTCGGTACGCAGCCAACGCTTTCAGGTATTCTTTCTTAGCTGCCTCGGTTTTCCTCTTGTAGCCCTGCGAAGAAAAACAACAACAAAAATCAAAACAAGAGGCTTCGAGTGAGACGAGAGGTTGACACGCTCATAAACGTGCAGACACAGACACAGAATCCTTTTTAGATCACTTGCTTAAACACACACTGCATCCCTGGACGTACACACACAAACATGTCTGTAATGGTTTCCCTTCCATCAGAGCCAATGGTACAGAACACCTCCATTTTCTCATCACGACACTAATACTCCCTCATCTCAATGTGTCTCCCTCTATCGTAGCGATGCATCATTTCCATTCCAATCCACCTAAAGAAATGGACTGGAACTTCTCGATGTTTTGTACTCTACTTGGAGCCACAATAACATTTGCTGATGTCCATGCTGAACCAAAATGGTTGTGGTCATTTCGTAAATTAGAATCCTTTTGCACAAGTATTTCCTTATTGGCCTTTAGTATTGCTACAAATCTCTGCAAATATTTGTTTCTGCGGCAGCTTTTTCGTGGATCTCATTGTGTTTTGCATGAATACTAACAAATCCATCTGCAGTTAATTTCTAAAGCAAAAATTAGCAGCAGATGTCATCTCAAGCCCTTTTGTGATGCAATTTACATGCAAAAAAATTAAATTAAATCATTTCAATTACATTGACAGTCAAATTTAATTAAACATGTTCCATTTAGATGTCCATAAAATCAATACAGACCAGTAAAAAGGAACTATTCTAATGCAGCACAGGCAACTGCAGTCATAAACTTTACAGCAATCCCTCCTCCTGCAAAAGCATGAAATCAGAGTGGGAAAAAACAAAGTATTTCCTTTGAACAGGAAAAATTTGGCTTCAGTCAATAAGGAAGTCTCATAAAACATTGTAAAAAGTTTACGATAGGCCAAATTCTTCTTGAGTATTTAAAACAAGATTGCCATTTCCTCCCTTTTGTTCTAGATTCTGCTGCTGATACAAACACATTTACTGTTCTACATAAAACTGAACATTTGTCAGAAACTTTAAGTGAGTTTTTAGTGATTCTAAAAAGAAAAACCTTACGCATTTTCAAAAACCATATCTAAAAAGATATTTTGCTGTATAATATGTTTATGTTTATATATAGAGGTTAGTTAAATATAGAGGACTCCTAAAAGAGTCCTCTATATTTTCTACTGTCTTTCATTTATGCTTCTGTATTATGTGTCAAAGTTATGTTTACAGAATGATAATAAAGATTATTCATTTTCAAAACTTAAGGTAACTGTTGGCAGTTGATGGATTTTTGACACTTTTGAGTGTAAAGTCCTGGACACTGAGATGAAGGGACCCTTCTGGGTCCCTGCTGAACCTGTGGCCTAATTTTGCATAAGCATACAAAAAATTAACATGGGATATTTGACACTTTAATTAAAGGTTGGGTTTAGAATCAAACCAAGTGTGCTACTCCAGGTTAAATCTATTACCCTACCCTGTTATGTTGAAATTACCAATGTCTGGGTGGGCCAACTTAACTCAGCCTTACAAAAAACAGTTAAATGTTAACCCAGCTTTTTTTTTTTTTTAGTTAATCTGCATATCGTTATATTCTAAATAATGCACTGACCAGAAAAACATAACCCTGAAACAACACAGTGACCTCCTACATCTCTGTTATCATTAGTGTTTCCTCCTTTATTACGGTACAGCAGGAGCTGACATTAACTACCAACAAAAAGAATTGATAGTTCCTCCTGAATGGCCAAAATGTCCTTCAGCTGAATCCAAAAATAAGAAAGAATGGTGGAGGGGGAACACTAATTTTGTATTCCAGACAGGATCAAAATACAAGGGGAGAAATATAAATAGAGAGAAAAAGAGAAATTCACTCATTGAAGCTTGTCAGAAGGTCATGTTAAAACCTCATAAGACATTCCAGTTCTGGGATTTTTTTGAAGTGAACTGCGTTACAGTGAGCTCCTACACGACTCTTCATATGTGATTGTTTGCTTTTACAGGATGCATTAGCTTCTGGCTTATGAACATTTTTACTCAGCGCAAAACATATCGCTCCATGTCTGCAGAAATCTCCCAAGGCATGTTTATATTTTCCCCATATTGACCATTCTGGGGTTGCAAAACATCCTACTTTGTTAGTCTCTGTGTCTTTTATTGCTCTTGGTAAGCAGAGCCCCACCTTCCCTTTGCCGCTCCCTCCCCTTTGTAGAATTAAATTTAGAAAGAAAATCATTTTAATGAGAGTCAGGGGAGCGGGGATAAACGATGGATTATCTTTAGAAAGAGAAGAACTAGCTCATTAAGGTGAGCTGTAACTCACAGCAATGTTCTGGTAATTACACAAAAGATAATGACAACAAAAGGCTGTTTGTCTGCTGCTGCATATGCCATTTATTGGTGGGGGATAACTGAATATATGTGCAGTTGATTAATGTAATTTTGGAGAGTTTATTTTGACTTTTTAGTGGCTAGCTATTATGCCTTGCAAGTGTAATCAAACCTGAATTTTTTAATCAGCGGAACCTATACATTTGGAAACAGGTTTATCGGGCCAGGATGCCATATAACACAAGCACAGCTCAACCCTGTGGTTTTATTTTTTCCTCACCTGATATGGTTTCATGAGAATGTTCATATTCCAGTTGCAGTCCAGGCAGGATTTTTTAATGTCTGTTTAGACAAAGGACCTCATTTTTCACTTTTAAAATATGCGTGAAGCTCAGACTTGACGGCTTTCCATTAGCACTTAAACACAGCGTGCATTTGTGGGTTTCAAAACTTGATAATGGGTGCATAGCAGGCAATTTGTGCCACACAGAAGCCTTTTTCCAAAAAGAGAAAGTATTAGATTGTAGAGATTTATTTATTTTTTTAACAGCACATAAAATATTAATATTTATGCAGGCAGTGATGTGAACATTTACAGGATTATTCTAGAAAATCTGACACTGTCTGATGTCCCTTTGGGTATAAGCGAGACTCAGAATTTCTGCACCAATTATTCTTATTTTTACTTAAATGCCAACAATTTTCAGTCTATATTCTCATTATGTTTTCTTGTTCATTTGCCTGGTAAGCTCTCTGTCATTCGACACCCACACTTTATTTCTACACTACATGAAAAGGTAGAGCAGAGTGATTTACAACTTAGATGTTCAGCTTTTAATCCATTCCAACATAAACAAATAAAGAATAAAAAGATTTTCCATTCTGCAAGAGAAATAAAACCCAAATATACAGTCACAGTAAGAGGCAACTCCAGGCTCTTCTATGACAAGAAGAAAACGGGGTCCTGCAGCAGATGGTTAAGCTCCCTCTGAGCCCTTATTACAACATCATTGAGTCAGTCTGGCATTAAATTCATAGACAGAAGACAGCGAGACAGCCTATATTCCCAAAGGAATCAAGGCATGTTCTCAGCGTTGTTTGTTACACCTACATACCAATTACTACGATAGACTTAAAAAAGTTAAATGTAGAAAACGGGCTTCCAAAAGGCAAAAACATACAATCTGAATAAAATGCATTTCTTTAATTATTTAACAGCTAAGCATTAATTAAAACTGTTCATAATATTATCTTTTGAGTGCAAACATTTGCTATTGTTGACACTGTGGTTCAGGTTTTTAACTGTTTCCATGTTTTGGGAACCTCAGTGTAATATGTTTCTTCACATGCAAATTTTTCGTACCTGCTTCTGTTCCTCGCCAAGGCTGTCCCACATGGAGGCCACAATCTTGGACACATCACCAAAAGTGGCATTGGGATTTTGGCCTTTGATGGCAGCTTGGGTGTCTCTGAAGAAGAGTGCATATGCAGACACAGGCTTCTGTGGTTCATTTGGGTCCTTCTTCTTTTTCTTCTTCTGAGGTTTGGGTTTAGGCTTCATCATTTCTGCTGCAGCCCTTTTCTCGTTGCTTATCTGGGTAAAGAGAGGAACACAGAAACAACTGGTCAAATTTGGGGTTTTGTGGCTATAGCCCTCTGCTGATGATGCAGGAAAACTGCTCGAGTAAGAACGTTTTTTTTATTGTTGTTATTGAAAAGAAACACACATACATCATACAAATAAGTAGGGAAAAATGTACGATGTTATTAGTGGTTAATTTTCATGAAAGTTCTACTCTAAGCTCAGTGCGTTCAAGGAAATCTATACGGAACCCCACTTCAACACAAGAAATGGAAGTAGAAGTGAAGTTGAATGAAGTCACAGGTCACCCAAAAAGTGAGCATCCAAAAATTCAGCATGGGAAAATTATTTTTATGAATTCTTTTATTCATTCAAATATTGACTGTAGGACATTTTATAATGAAACTAACAAATTATTTTTGTTGAAATCATTTGAAAAAAACATTAAATATTAAAAAAACATAATCTTGTCTTACTTTTTGCCTTCAAAAAACATTAAACCACTGGATGTTTAAGGAGAAAAGACATGGAAATCTAAATCTGGTTAAAAATGATGAATATTTTGCATTGTAATTAATATTTAGCATTTTATTTGTCTGAATCTTTCATGGAAAAGCCTTACATCTCCTTCAAATTTTGGAAAAGTCACATCTCCATCAACCATTGGTGCAGGTAGGCCACTTTTGTGCAATTCTTGAATTTACATTTAGAAGACAAAACATTATCGGGGTGCTACACTGTACATCCCTAACCTGTAAACATAATTCAGTGGTTTTTAATTGATTACAGGAGTTAATTAGACATCTTATTTATTTACATTGACTTTCCAGTCTGGTAATTGTAATGCTTTGCTTTTTAAAATATAAGTTTGTATCACACTGCTCTAACCACATTATTCTGTTGTTTTTTCCCGCTTCTTCTTTTTGGAACTTGTATTGTATGTATTTTCTTCTGTTTTATTGCATTGAATATAGAAACCTCCAACAAGAAAACATAAGGGGAATAATTACATATATATTTGTATTTGTGAGCAACTACCAGAGGTAACACAGTATAGTTAAATGTCCCTACATTTTCATAAAGCTGAAATATTTCCATCAGGGTAATGTGCTGCTTTATCCAATAGACATGAATACATTTTCATTTCCAGGTAGAGTTTTGACTGGGAGTCAAATCCAGGTCACCTGATTCTGGTGGTGATTCTATATGGAAATTGTGTTCTGTGCTCCAGAGGAAACATGTGAAGTAGGGGACAGAATGGAAAAGGCAAAAAGACAGACAAGAGGATGGAAACCAAAAAAAGTATTGTATTGCTTTGATCTTATAATTATTATGAGAAGGACGTAACCTAATTTATTTTGACAATAAATGCAAAAAAACATACATGTAATAAGATCTGGTGGCCAAACATCCCGTATCTGTAAAATTCAAAAATATTACTGCTGTCAGCAAAGTAAGTGTTTGCACAGAATGTCTGCTCCAAGTATGCAGATCAGTGCTTTATGCTGGGTTCAATTTTTTTGGAAGTCAGAGCTCAAATATGGGAATGTTGTCCCTTCCAGAATTAGAGCATTCTAGTTGCATCTCAGAAACATGGTGACCTTCTAACTGTTTAGAGGCTAACTAATGTTAGTAAACAGTACAAGAAGTGCATTTCCCTCCATTTTATGTGCACAGAGAAGAAGCACTTTCACATCCACTATTATATACTACTTCCCCCCCCCTGCTTTAATGAGATAGAAGTGCTATTAAATAGTTTATATAGCCAACTTTCATTATTATGTAACGCGTCAGCCATTTTAGACTCTAAGCTCAGAAAGCTGTGCACAAACTACAAATTCAATTTGTAATTATTCTAAGAAGAAATGAGAGAATCTGACTGTAAACAAAATTATTCAGCCACTTACCACCCGCCTTATTTTTGGTTGTGCACAGAAGTTGGAAGTATCCAATTGGCATTACCTATTTACATTGCCTATTTACATCCCACATCCTTGCAAGTGGATGCATTTTAATGTGAAGTGGGTATGTGCAATAAAGGTTGTGAAAGAAGCTGTTTGTTTTACTCAATGTGACCTACAGGACGACTTGGTTGGTGGTGATAGCAAGATAGCACATAGCTGAAAACAAGCACACTCAACATAACAGCAACAACTTCAGTGAAATAGTATATAATTGTACAAAAAAATCATTATTGTATTATTTTCTTTGGATTTTTCTGACCAAAGAAAAACAACTTTTGGTGGATTACACCTTAAGGAAGAGCAACCTTATGAAAGATAGAATTTGATATACATTTTTGTGAATCAGTACAAACTAAAGGAGCCTATACAATACATGCCTGAAATTGACAACTATGGTATATTTGTGAAGCCGACTTCAATTCTATTCATATTCAACTCTAAAATATTTTACTGATTTCAAACGGAAATTAGATATTGTAGAAACTTTTTGTATTTTCTTTTTATTTATTTGTAAATGTTGATAGCTGTAGGCAGGAAGGATCTTCTGTAGAGGTTTTCCTTGCACCTGATCTGGAAAAGCCCCTACTGAAGACACAAAAGCCCCGGTCACACTGATGCGTCCAACTGTTTAATTTCAAATCTGATTTTTTTTTCATGTCACAAACAACAAACAAAATGGATATTCAGTCAAAGAATAGTTGTTCTTTAAGAAATCATCTCTAGAGGTTCTAGAGGAACAGAGCCAGCTTACTCTATCAGCTTGTTGAGCTGATACCCCAGCAGATGATGACCACACTCTCCACAACAGATTTATATAAGATATCTGACATCATGCTGGAAAACCTGAAGGGCCTAAGCTTCCTTAGAAAGCAAAGTCTGCTTTGTCCCTTCTTTTAGACAGCTTAAGAGTGAGATATTTGTTAAGAAAAGCGAATATTTCCATGTGTACATAATAAAAAAAAACATACCTTCTGTATAAGAAGTGAAATCATTTAACTGGTATGATTGTTATCTTGAGAAAAGGTAATTTCCAAAAAAACAATATAAGGAAGCTGATGATGGGTAAAAAAATTTTTTCACATCAAACAAATGAAGACGCCTTACACAGTGGGCTTTATAAACTTCCTGGTAAGTGGTTAACTTGATAGCCTGTATTAATAATTGTTAGTCTTATATTGAAGTAGGACACATAAAAAAAAAAAAAAAAACACTTTTCATGCTGGCTAACAGTGGAGCAATAAAAAATCTGCCTGTTTGAGCCCTTAACAATTTTATAATGCTATTTACTAATCTAGATAATCCCCATATTGATATTTCTCTTGATCTATGCATGTCTGCAATCTCTGTGGGTTCTTCTCACCAAGCAACAGCCCTTTGGTCCTGGAAAACAGGTGGCCAAGACTGTTCTGTGTAAAACAGTAACTATCTGCCCTGTTCCGGATTCACGTTATTTTACAATGCCATGCCTCCCAGGTAAACAAAACCTACACTTTGATAAGTGTGAGGTGATGTGAGGCCAAGCACAATAAGTTCTTTGGCTCTGATAGCGTCTAATCTGTACAGTGACAGCAACTGTTCCTTTTTAAGATAATTTCTAAGTTACGAAAAAATGTTTCTTATGGCTGTGAGAGGTTTTAGACTTTGTCCACCTTTCCTAACAGATAGATAAAAATATAGATGTATAGACACAAAAACTCAAGCGCAGCAAGAGGACATTTTAAAACCTTCATTTCAATCTAATTTATACTCATTAAAAGATTAAGCAACAACCTTGTTCTCCAATTAACTGTCATATGGAGAAACAGGACTGTCTCTGAAAACAACATTATTTCAGGAAAGCATTTGCCAAACACAAACTACATGAAATTAACTAATCAAAATTCAAGGTTCACAGGCACATTGACAGCTGCAGATAAAAACAAAACTAAATGGATTTTGAGGTGTTCCTGAAATTAATGAAAGTTCCTCTTAGGGTTATGCCAAAGCATCTATTTTTCAGATTACAGGTAATATTCATATTTTTATGCATGTGGGTATGTGTGGTTTCATTAAAAAATAATCACCCCTCACTTTTAGGCAATGAGGCAGAAGACAGGCGTTTGAAACAACATCTGTTCGAGCAAGCCTTTGATGTGAAAATAGAATAAACGGACAGAAGATCTAATGGAATGACAAAAATAAGGGGGAAAAAAAGAAGCTAAATAATCTCCAAGAAAATTCACATCTATTCATGAGGAAGAAAAATAATGACACACAGCAGCTCACTGCAGCATGCAATTTACCAGGAAAATAAGGAATATAGCTCTATTTTTATCTATTTCTTCTCTTATTATTTGATAATCACATTTGTGAACTCCAATATATAGAAGACAGTTGGGAAAGGATGACATTTTCAATCAATCTGGAAGGTTCTGAAAAAAATACTATTTAATAAGGAAGGTCCACTTAGTAAGAAATAAATGCTAGAGCTAATCACATTTTAAAAGCAAATTTTTGGCAGGTGTCTTCATGATGAAAAGTAAATTTGTAAAATAAGTGTATACACTGCTTTTTGCCTTCCTTTGATCCATTTTACTACATGCAAATACCACTACATAGAAACAAAACAACAACAACAAAAATTGATAATTATACATGAAAGCCAGATAATCAAATTTTATCTATATTTTAGTAAGGGTTAACTGCCTGACTATCAAATCCTTTTATCTCAACAAAAATTCACTGAAATGTCTTAAAACTGCATGCCAGTGTTTTAAGAACCATCTTCATGCACAAAAAAAAAATGTTGAATATGGTATAATTTCCTTCCACACAACTCCAAATACTGACAATAAAACATACTGTGCATGTGATATATATTCCACTTGTAGGCAGATTTACTTTTTCCATGGAACATGAAACTGTGGCTGGGGTGTTTTCAAGTCTGTACACTCTGTACCTCTGAAATTCATTCTAAGTGTGCTACAATGTGGTAGAAAAGAACAATGGAAAATCTAACCGCCTTTTTTAACAAAATTATGTTGTGTGTCTAATTCAGTAGTTTTTGAG